TAATTGTCTAACTGAGAGTAGACCACTTATTTGATACAGTTTTTCAGTGGAAAAACGTCTTTTTTTAAAATACATGACCTTAAGAAGGATTCGCTGAGCTCTTTCCAAGTTGAGAAATTGGGTCTTTGTAGCTCCACCCCACACCGGAATGCAATAAGTTATGATAGATTGTGCAAGGGATATGTATATTTGGTTTAGGAGATATCTGGGAGAGTCCGACTGTTTAGTATTATCTGGTATTACGTGTCTTAGGGTTTTGAATATCCAAATCAATTTTCGAGTTCTACTGATGACATGTTCCAGGTGTGGGTACCACGATAGCCTCTGATCTACAATGACGCCGAGATATTTAGTGTGAGAGACTTTTTCAATTGATGGGCAGTCACAAGCTTTGTTTTTAGCATCCTCATTACATGCATGAATTTTAAGGCAAAAGTCAGTCTGTGGTTGCGAGTTGTTAGTAATGCTAAAGCAAATAAAATTTGTCTTAGCTGTATTTAGAGTGAGAAGATTTTGTTGCAACCACAGAGCGACTCTAGCTAGACCACATTCAGCACTAGTCTTGACAACCTCCCAAGATTCACCAGCAAAAACCACAGCCGTGTCATCGGCGTACGACAGGATTTTAGCATTTGGTATGGTCATACTGCATAGGTCGTTGATATAAATTAAAAATAAGGTTGGTCCCAGAACGCTACCCTGTGGTACGCCATATGATGAGACTCCCGCATCCTCACTAGTGAACCCAGGAAGCTTTACCTTTTGTTTTCTCTCTGACAGGTAGCTTTCGAAAAGAGCAAGCGGGGTCCCTCTTATTCCAACTTTTTCAAGCTTGTGCACAAGCATAGGGACAGAGATGGTATCGAATGCTTTCTTCAGATCAAGGAAAACTGACAAACATTTTTTACTGTGGTCGAGTTGTTCTGTTACAAATGCGCTTAATTCAAGAATTGCATCTTCTGTCGATCTTCCTTGTCTGAAGCCAAACTGTGTGGGTGCTAATATATCAAATTTATTTAAGTAGTTGAGTAATCTAATATTAAGTAACTTTTCTAGAATTTTAGATATTGCTGGTAGAACGGAAATTGGTCTATAATTATTAATGTCATTTCTGTCCCCACCCTTGTGCACAGGCGTAATAATAGACTGCTTTAATGGTGCAGGGAATATTCCTGTATCGAAACATAGATTAGTTAAATGGGAAATAATAGGAGCCAAGTTATTGACTGCCAATTTTAAGAAGTCATTGGGGATATTGTCCCAGCCTGGAGCGCTGTTTGATTTTAAGTTTAAAATTATATTTTTAACTTCGTCTATGTCCGTATATAGTAAAACAAAGGAGTGTAATGATACCGGATTGTTATCTACGGGTCTACTAAGGGTCTCTTTGACATTCTGGATTTTATTGGCAAGTTGGATTCCTATATTTAAGAAATAGCTATTTATGAAGTTTGCAGATTCGGCGGGTGATGATTTCAGATTGAGTAGTTCAATGTTAGTATTTCGTGATTTATTAGTGTAAGTAATATTTTTTATATTTTTCCATAACAATTTATTGTTATTTAATGATTTAATAATATTTTCTCTATCATATTGTATTTTCATTCTTTTTATTAAATTGTTACAGTAATTCCTGTATCGTCTGTATGTAATGCGAAGAATGTCATTATGTGGGTCTTTTCGTAAGTTTTTCTGAAGGTTATTTCTGTTTCTTATACAGCGTAAGATTCCTGCAGATATCCACGGTTGTATTATTCTTTTACTGCATGGAATAGTAGCCACTGATGTATTTAGTTTAAGACTTTCGGTAATTTTATCTATGAATTTGTTAGTTACAGTCAATGGATCACTACAAAGTAATAATTCTGATAAGTTTTTAGTCTGTAGGTATTTTAAAGCATTTCCAAAATTTGTCATTTGTTTAGTTTTATTATCATTTAGCTGTTTTTTTAATTTAGAAATAGATAGGAGCGTAGTAGAGTGATCAGTAGTGGTAGTATGCATAACTGCGATTGATGCTTTATATTTAGATTTATTTATTTTTAGCATAAAGTGATCTAAACAGTTTTGCTCTCTTGTAGGTAGAGTATGGCCGGCTAATATACCATAGTTTGCAAGCATGTCTAAGTAGTACATTCTGTTTTTGTATTCTTGTGATCGTTCCGTAGTTTGAGGCCTAATGTTTATATTAATATCACCTGCTATTATAATACTACTATGAGAAGGAAGTAACTCGAGATGAGACTCTAATGAATTTACAAATTTTTCAGCATTTAGATACGATGGAGACCGATAAATGCATAATACGGTGTTATTTAGAACATCTACCTGGAGGCATGATGATTGCTGTAATGTTACTTCTTTTACTTTGTGTTTCAGAGTTTTTTTTATATAGACAACCACACCGTCATTTTGATTCAATTGTCGTGTTGTACAGTAAACTTCGTAATTATTTAGTTGCGGGAGGGGTTTATTTTGATTTAGTCTACACTCTGTAAAAGTAATCATATCAATTTCAAATGATAAATTTGATAGGGTTAGTATACAATCGTTAAAGTTTTTATATATACTAACAATGTTTTGAGCTACGATAGTAAAATCATTTTTATTAATACGTATGCGCCCCTCAAGATCACTTCCTTCGCATTCAATTGCATGTGCTATCTCAATTTTGTCTAATTCTTGTATAGAGTGAAGTGAGTCACCCATTCACGGAATATAAATGTAAGCTAGAGGTAAAGATATTATGTAGGTTTTGCTTAATTTTATATTTAAAGTCAATAAATTGTAATAAGGGTCATTAAATTGTGTAGATATTATTAAAAAATATATATTTGGGTATAGCTGGATTATTAACAGTTTAAATTCATGTGTATGTGAGAAACGAATGAGAAGTTTGTGTAACGGTGAGTATATGAAAATACTTTGTGTATGTTTTTGTGAGTGTGAGTGTACAATATGTATGAGTGTATGTAGGTGTGTGTGTAAAAGTGATGGATACATATGTAGAAAGTTGTCTAGAGTTTCAGTATTTACAAGTTGCAAAGCGAGCATAGTTATGTGAAACATAAATAAACCCCTAATAACACCAGACTTCAGATACAAAAAAATTTTTAGATGCAGTAACCCATAGCAATAGCCAAGGTAAAGTACGATCAATATTAAATACACGAATAGTCAGAATTGCTCTAGAAGTAACGTGTGTACCTGTTGTTCTGATTTGATCTGCACGATAGGGGACTGCTCAGCTTTACGCACATAAATTCTGCCATAGGATGTCCACACAAATTTGTACCCTTTAGATTTAGCTAGATCACGAGCCATGTAGTAGAGACGGGAAGCCTTTTGAGTTAAATTCTCCGAAAGGAAAATCGGTGTGTCAGCGTGCGACTTTAGACCTATGTGCTTTGCACATAGTTTGGTTTTGTTTCTTATATTGAAGGATTTAGTCATTTTCAGAATATCAGTCTTGATCAAAACAGAGCCGGTTTCTACTACAATAGGGTTGCTATATGATGCTTACGCATTTTGTACCCAGACGGAGCGTCTGTGAACCTGTCGGTGAACCCGTCAATTGGAGCTCATGCACACATCGCTGCACTATGTATACCCATATATAGCGCAGCGATGTTTGCGTGTACTATTTACTTTTATTTGGTTTTATTAACTTTTTGCACTTAATATTGCATTTTATGCGTTTTTAACAATGGTGCAGTTATATTCAATCAGGGTGCAGTTTTTTCATGGTGTATTAGTACTCAATGGGAAACACAAGCGGGTCAAAATATTACTACCAAATACTATTAAAATCGTAGCAAAGATCATGTACATTACATTAGTTTTTCTTTCACTTCAATACATGCAGTATTTCCGAAGTTAAGTATATCGACGATAAGTTTAAGCCCTTTTTTGAATTTTAAAGATTACGCGCGCTCACACTATGACATCACACCCCCGCAGATCGCAACCGCGACACAAACGCGGTGCTCGATCCGATGCGGTTTGACCAAATTACGCGGGTCTCGTTTCATTTTCTTTCGATCGACTGTATTTTGCGGCCCGCCAATACAGTCAGTTGAGGAGCACTGCACTACGCTGCTACTAGGTGCTAGGTAGTTGGCAACTTTGACAAGATACCTATCTATTTAAGCAATCAAAGTAGACAAGTAGGTATGTTTAGTAGGGCAAGGATAGGCAGAGAAGAAAGATAAGTTCAATACTTACAAAAATACTTACATGGAAATAGTCTTCACAGCAGTACGCTTTAGTTTTAGGGCCTATTGAATCGACTCTTTTTACGGCTGTCATCCACTTTTTCCTCATTTTTGGGTCCTTAGGAGTAGGTGTGAATTGGGGCTTCTGTGTCACTTGCTCTCGCTTCGCTCGAGCTACATGCCGCTGAAGGCCCCAATTCTCTCCATTAGAGGTCTAAATTTTAGTGTAATCCTCGATCCGCATTTTTTTAAATCTTTGCTCCATTTCTAATACCGTTTCATTCGGAATCTCAAATACAAATGGTTCAATAATATAACAACAAAATATGAAGACTAATCTATTTCATCGTTAAAAATGCAAGGTGGTACCAAAAACTTTAATAATAAGTACTAATCGTTAACGGTCTGAAACTATTTTTTTTTCTTCTTCTCGAACACGAAGGTAGTTTAAATTAAAAGATGAAGTGTTTATTTACATATATTCTATTAGAAATCAAACAATCATTTTGTTTTCAAAACACCATTTCTTAACACATAAAACATTTTTAACGCACATATTTTCTTATGAGTAAAACAGTTATACAGTAAAGTAGGTATCTTTACAATAAAGTTCACAAAGAGTATTTAAATTAGGAACTCCTAAGCAACTTATATCTGTTATTTTCATCACAAATATCTTGCACCCATTTAATTTTTTTACATCGTTTTAAAAAAATCTTTTTATCTTTCAGATATGTCTTTATAATTCTGTGAAACTCTCTATAATCAACAAAGCTGAATTGCTATTCATGATATTTTCTTAACGATATTACTCAGTGGTATGTATTCGAATATACAATCGTTTAATATCAAGCAATAAGCGGTTGTCTGATCTGGTATTTCTTGGTCTGTTTCGATTTCAACTCTCACATCGATCGAACTTTTTTAAAGTTTCGTGTTGTCTTGAACAATCAATTACAAATAATGGAGCCACGTCTCTGAACTCCTTTAAACCCATCAACAGCTCTGACCGGCGTCCATGATACGACTGTTGAAATCTCGCATACTGATCGTATAATAAAGCAAACTTATCTTCTGAAAAACTGACATTCAGCCCATCATAAGGATAATATGATGAATTTAAAAAGACTCTTACATCTCGTACGTGACAATGAAAAAACTCTGCCATTGATAATTTCGCGTTATGTTTGCGGTTGGTTTGCAAGGCGATGACCACAAACCGTGGTTTCTCTATTTGTGATGAAGTTTTTATAGACCAAGCATGTTTACGTGTTTTGGGTAGCAATGGATATTCATATAAGTCCCAGGAACGGAATGCCAATGGAATAGCTCTATCTTTCTCTAAAAGTTTTAATAGGCTGATTCTTTCACGATCTGATACTTTGATGTGTGGAACTCGACAAACTATTTTATTTATTATAATATCTTCTATAACTAACGATGTGCGAGTTTAGAAATAAGAAATGTACCGACTACTGGTAAGGAATCCAAAGAAACATTAACGGATATTATAATGAAGGTGGGAAAAGCAGTTGATGTCCTAATTCAGCCGAATGACTTAAAAGATGTTTTTCGTTCCAATTACGTAACTGGTAAAACGTCAATCATAGCTGAATTAAACTCTACAATACTCAAGGATACATTGTTAATGTCGGTCATTTTATTTAATAGGAGACAAAGCAAAGATAACAAACTCAATACTACGCACTTGGGTATTCATGGAGTAAAAACACCTGTATATATATCTGAAAATCTTACCAGTAGAACTAGAAAACTATTTGTTTCGGCTAAAGAATTTGCTACGAAAAACAAATTTAAATATTGCTGGATATCCTATGGCCAAGTATACCTACGGAAAAATGACGGCGACCTACGCACTAGAATTAATTCGGAGATTGATTTTATTAAGCTGGAAAAAGAAAAATGACTAACATACATTAGTTATTATAAGTATACAATATTTTACTTTTGTTTACAATTATATTACTTTTAATTAACCTACTTAAACTATTAAACTTATTTAGTTTGTTAATTACTTTACTTAAGATATATTATGAAGAAAATTTTACAATAACACTATTTACACACAAACCTTTACGCACTAACATTAATAATCATACAAGTGATTTTCTGCTATGCATACTGCCTGTTTCGTGGCTTGAGTTGAATGAATACAAAATATTACATTGCATAATATCTTACTTAAACAAGATCTTAATTACTCATACTGTGAACATAATTTTACAATAACACTATTTACACACAAACCTTTACGCACTAACATTAATAATCATACAAGTGATTTTCTGCTATGCATACTGCCTGTTTCGTGGCTTGAGTTGAATGAATACAAAATATTACATTGCATAATATCTTACTTAAACAAGATCTTAATTACTCATACTGTGAACATAATTTTACAATAACACTATTTACACACAAACCTTTACGCACTAACATTAATAATCATACAAGTGATTTTCTGCTATGCATACTGCCTGTTTCGTGGCTTGAGTTGAATGAATACAAAATATTACATTGCATAATATCTTACTTAAACAAGATCTTAATTACTCATACTGTTTATAATAACTTGAGCACATACAACATTTATAGGATGTCTATGTGCTTAACTTATTATCTGACGATGACGCACAGTATAATATATAAATATTCGCGGCGAATCAAATAATAGATTTACAAAGAAATATTGATTCCTTTTCCGTATCAGAATTTGCTAAAATTGATATAGATGACTGCCGGTCCCTCATAAATAGCCCCAATCATTACCTAAAAATTTTGAACCAAAATATTCGTAGCATATCTCGAAATATATCTGGATTAGAAACCCTCATGGCTAGGTCAGAAACTGACGGGGATGTGATTGTCTTGACCGAATGCTGGCTCAAAGCTAATGCCAACGTACCTTCATTGCACAGTTATCGTACATTTGCGACAACCTCTAACAGTTCACAAAATGCAGGCATTGTAATCTATACTAAAAATTATCTCACAGTTGTAATGGAGGAACCAGAGTTTTCTGAAGCAAATTGTCTTATATTAAAACTTAATATTGATGTTGTTATTATTGCAATTTATCGCCCTCCTTCCTTCAGAAATATCTCCCTTTTCTTAAACTCATTGAATAAAATTCTCTCTAAATTTGCCACATTCACGAATGTTATTTTAACAGGGGACATAAATTTAAATATTAAAGGTAATAACTTATACGCAAATGCATGCGAATATCTAGAACTAGCAGCTTACCATGGCTTACTTCCAGTATATTCCTTATCTACGCGTCATGGAAATTGCCTCGACCACATTTTATTAAAAACAATATTACATGCATTTACTTATGTAGCTTAAACAACCTTAACTGACCACGAAACTGTAATATTTTACCTTGATCTACAAACAAAAACTGAAAATCTTAAAAGTTCCGTTAAGCGTATTAATCACAAAGGTCTTGCATTAAGTTTAAGTAATATTAACTTCAAACCACTATTTGAATCCAGTGATGTAACTTATGCTGCAAACTATCTTATTGAATCCATCTCTCAGGCGATAGAATCCAATTCTTATGTTATCAATCTTTCTAAACGTAACCGAATTAAAAAGCCGTGGATCACTCCAGGTCTACTACGATGTATGCGAAATAGAGATAAACTTCACAAAAAGCTAAAAAATAATCCTACCAATGAAACTCTAAAATTAACATACACCCGTTATCGCAACTTCTGCAATAACTTATTGAGAAAAATAAAGAGAGAATACGAAGAACAAGAGCTAATTAAGGCCAAAAGTAATCCAAAGTTATTATGGAAAACCATTAATGATATAACAGATAGACAAAAAGTAGAAACACCTGCAACTGAACTTATATCCAACTGTATAGTTCCAAATGTTAACATTGAACACATAAATGAATACTTTGCAAACGTGGGAAAAAATCTTGCCGAGAATATACTTAAAGAAACGTGAAGGTCAAAAAACGAGGATTCGTCGTCTAGCAAAGTGGTAAATAATCTCCGATCTTTAGTAATAATGTCTACTGAAATAACAGAAGTCGAAAGGTTAATTATGTCACTAAAAAGCGATGCTGTTGGGTGGGATAGTATCAGTGCTAACATATTAAAATTATACAAACATATAATAGCAAATCCTTTAACACATGTCTGTAATTTAGCCATAACAAATGGCATATTTCCTTCTGCCTTTAAGAAATCTGTTATCCTTCCTATTTATAAGAATGGAGCTAGAGACCGCGTAAATAATTATCGCCCAGTATCTATTTTACCATCAATGTCTAAGATTCTTGAAAAGATCATGAATAACCGATTAACCTGTTTTCTTGGAAAGAATTTACTTTTTTCCAAGGCACAGTTCGGATTTAGATCTGGTTTTTCAACAACAGATGCGGTCCATGATCTTACAAACTATATTTTCAAAGAATAATAAAAAGTGTATGGCAATTTTCCTAGATCTAGCCAAGGCATTCGACACGGTCTCTATCCCAATTCTGATTAAGAAACTTGAAAAAGTTGGAGTTAGGGGTACACAACTAAAACTTTTTATTGACTATTTAACAAACCGCACTCAACGTATAAAGATAGGAAATATTATAAGTAAGGATTTACCTGTTACCTATGGTGTACCGCAGGGAAGTATTATAGGTCCTACCCTCTTTCTTGTCTACATAAATGACCTATGTAAATTACAGATACCAAATGGTCAAATTACATCATTTGCAGATGACACTGCTCTAGTTTTTAGCGCTGACAATTATGAAGATCTCTTCCGCTATGGACAAAATGGTTTTAACTCAATGGTTACATAATAATGTTCTAACATTAAATTTTGATAAAACCAAGTATCTAATATTTAATAAGAAAGGAAATATGCCAACTATTAATCTTTCAATTACTTCTCATAACTGTTCTGTCTTAAGCGAGAGGGAAAACTGTAACTGTCCAAAATTGCAGTCCGTTAATAGTATTAAATATTTAGGAATTTACTTAGATAATAACCTAAGCTTTAACAGTCATATAGATATGCTTACTAGTAGAACTCGTAAATTAATGTATATATTTAAGAGGTTACGCAACGTAGCTAATTCAAACATTATTAGAATGCTATATTTAACACTATGCCAATCCATATTAATTTACGGAATCACAATTTGGGGAGGAACATCCAAATCTATTCTCATAAAACTGGAAAGAGCTCAACGCGCTCTACTCAAAACATCACGTTCCCTTCCGTACACATTTCCAACGCGCGATCTATATAAAAAATGTCGAGTCCTCACGATTCGACAGCTTTATATTTTATACACCGTAAACAGGCAACATTCTCTATTACCTTATGATTCATCAATATTAAAAGGAAAAAGACGTAAGGATGCTATTTGTAAAATAAAACCTCATTCGAGCTTCGCGAAAAAATCTTTTACTTTCTTGGGAGGTTATTTATATAATAAACTTAATAAAATTTTAAATCTCTTCCCACAAACAAAAAACTCTTGTAAAAGAAATGTCTCCAAATGGTTGGAGACGCTGGATTATGATATGACAGAAAACTTGCTAAGTGTTAATTGCTAATTCTTATAATGTTAAACAACATAAGTGTTTCGGTTTGTGGTTTAAGATCCTTATAATCTGATAATTGATCCCAAGTCATTGGCGTAGGGTAAACAGAACACACACACACACACACACACACACACATACACACGCGCGCACACCCACACACACACACACACATGCGCGCGCACACCCACCCACACACACACACACACACATACACAAACACACACACACACACACACAAACATGCAATTGCATTCTTTCTCTCTTATTTGTATTTCCATACTACAAAGATTGTATTTATCCAATGGGTGGAGGCCTGGTGATCCATAATACAGGTTTGTACCTAGTTTGGACACCAGTCCCCCGCACAACATTTGTATATTTTTTAAGCTGTGTACAATCAAATTGTGGGAAATAAATAAATCTATTATAACTTCACCTGTATTTAACTTGATCGCCTTAAGATTTGTATTGCTTTGTAATAATACTAACTCATGTTTAGAATTAATTATATATTTTTTTATAATCTTCTGCAAATCCTAATATCCTGTTCAATGGTATAGACACGGAAAACGCTCCAACACTAGTATTGCTTGTTCCGCCAGTTGACCAGCCCCAAACTCGAGCACATTTTGATTCATTTTCATTTAAGGATAGATAAGATTTTATTGTAGTAGTGACACCAGCATTCTTAATTTTATCTATTTCTACTCCATTAAGTTCATATCGT